ATGTGTGCATTTAACAATGTTGTCTGCTTGAATACAGGTGGCTCAACACTATCTGCCTGTTGTTCTGCGTGACATTTTACTTTGGCATCTGTCTATGAACCTCTACAGATGCTTTGTTTCTAGGCATATCAGCTCACAACAAACTGCTTAACTAACATTTTGAATCCATTCATATAATTTATTTCGTTTTTAGTAGCAGTGAATTTGAACCAAACCACCAGACCCAAACACCCCCCCAAAATACAGAGAAATGTGCATGCAGATTTTGCTTCAGGTCCCTATAATGGGCCAGACCAAATCCAAATCCGACCACCACCAAACCAGGAAAGTTCAGAACAGGGTTGCCAACTCTTGTGATTTTTTAATCACAAGTCTTGTGGTATTTGATATTTTCTTGCAGCTCCAGCTCCTGAAGGCATGTGATTTGGGGAGAAGCTCAATGTTCATTGTTTTTTTAAAGTAAGTTTCTAGGCCTCACGGTTGTAGAGAAAAGCTTGAAAGTGTGAATTGAGTGAGACCTAAAGGCTCAAAAACCAAAAGGTAACTGAAAAGAGCCTACTTTTAAAAAAATCTCATGATTTTTAAGCCAATCTCACATTTTGGGGGAACTTGACTCATGATAGTTTAACACTTGGGGTTGGCAGTACTAGAATCTGAACTCTGTGGTGTGGGCAACACTTCCACTAATTCTGGATGCTTTTAGGTGCTCAACTTGACACACACATGCCTGATTTTTCAAAAGTGTTAAGCACCTGCAGCTCTTATTGAGGTCCGTCGGAAATTCAAAATCATGATCAAGCCAGGCACCCAAAATTGGTTGACACACTTTAAAAAAAATTAGACCTAATTGATTATACCTGTCACGCCAGAGGCAGATACACATCTAAACAACGTGTGCAGCCAGACAAATTGGCTGCCAAAATCAAAGAGCTCCCCAGCATGAAATGTACTCTACAAATGTGGACAACCACAAAGTTTTTCACCATTAGCTACATGCAATTACCTCTGCTGAACCACACACACATAATATATTGGCAAACAGCAAAAGATGGACATTTTTGGCTAAAGGTATAGATTTTAATATCCCCCTTCTATGGAAAGTGCCCGTGTGCCTTCAATGCTCATGCAGAGCACCTAGGAGCTAGATGTTTCAGCCCTGGAGCACCTACAGAAAAAAATTAGTGGGTGCTTAGCACCTACCACAGCCAGCTCCCCTCCCCCCGCCAGTGCCTCCAGCCCACCAGCGGCCCCATTGATCAATTCTTCCCTCTCCCTTCCCCTCCCAGTGCCTCCCACCCACCACGATCAGCTGTTCTGCTGCCTGCAGGAGGCGCTGGGGGGAGGGGGAGGATTGGGGATAGGGCATGCTTTGGGGAGGAGGCAGAAGTGTGCAGGAAGAGGCAGGGTGGGGCATGGCCTTGGGGAAAGTGGTGGAGTGGGGGTGGGGCCTAAGGTTGAGCAGGGTTGAGCACCCCTGAGGAAAGGAAGAAGCCGGCATCTGTGATGCATCATGAGGGCCTTGAAAGTGAAGAAAAGTAGCCTATGTTTGATATGATAGAGACATGGGAACTGGAGGAGGGATGCTAGGAAAATCATCTTTGTAGCAGCTTTCCGAATGAATATCAGTGGGGCAAGATTTCATTTGCCAGGGCCACAGAAAAAGACATTGTAGTAATGAGATAAGACCCTGTGTGGATGGATAGGAAAGACTGTGTGGATGGATAGGAAAGGCTGTATCTTAAGAGACATTATACAGAAAGAATCTGCAAGACTTAGTGAAGGAAGTGAGGACCTAGAGAGAGGTCTGAGTCAAAGATGACACCAAAGTTATGGGCCTGAGTCACAGGCAGGATGGTGGTGTTATCCACAGTGATCGAAAAGAGGTGTGTGTGGGGGGGAGGGGATTAAGAGCTCTCTTTTAGCCATGTTGAATTTAAGCTGATGACTAGACCTCCAGGAGGAGATGTCAGAGAGACAGGCTGAGGCCTTGGCTACACTTGCGAGATGCAGCACTGTAAAGCCGCCCCCAGCGCTGTAACTCACTCCCCGTTCACACTGGCAAGGCATTTGCAGCACTGTATCTCCGTGGTTGCAGCACTGCATGTACTCCACCTCTCTGAGAGGAATAGCGAGTATTGCGCTGCCACTACAGCGCTGCAGCACCAGTGTGGCCGCCCAGTGCGCTGTGAATGGCTTCCAGAATTATTCGGCAGTATCCCACAATGCCTGTTCTAGCCACTCTGGTCATCAGTTCAAACTCTACTGCCCTGGCCTCAGGTAACCAACCATGTGACCCGCCCTTTACATTCCCCGGGAATTTTAAAAATCCCCTTTCTGTTTGCTCAGCCAGGCATGGCGTGGAGTGCTATCAGCAAATCTTTCCAGGTGACCATGCCTCCATGCATCAAGCGAGCCCCAGCATGGAGCAATGGCGAGTTGCTGGACCTCATCAGTGTTTGGGGGGAGGAAGCTGTCCAGTCCCAGCTGCGCTCCAGCTGTAGGAATTACGATACCTTCGGGAAGGTATCAAAGGACATGATGGAAAGGGGCCATGACCGGGACGCCCTGCAGTGCAGGATTAAAGTGAAGGAGCTGCGGAGCGCCTACCGCAAAGTCCGCAACGCAAACGGCTGCTCAGGTGCTCCCCCCACGACCTGCCGATTCTACAAAGAGCTGGATGCGATACTTGCAGTTAACCCACCTCCACTCCGAGCACCACCATGGACACTTCAGAGCCGGGGTGGGGTGGGGAGAAGGAAGAGGAGGAGGAAAACAGGAGTGATGGTGGTGGGCCGGATGGAGACACCCCGGAATCCCTGGAGCCATGCAGCCAGGAGCTCTTCTCGAGATAGGAGGAAGATAGCCAGTCACAGCAGCCGGTACTTGGTGGAGGACAAACAGAAGAGCAGGTTCCCGGTAAGCGGGTTTTTTTCGGGAAGGAATTTTTTTGGTGCGGGCTCTTTGGGAGAGGAGGGTTAGGCATGCATGCCTAGATGCGGAATAGTGCATTGATGTGGTTTATCACATCACGGTAATCGGCCTTGGTAATCTCTTCGAATGTCTCATCCAGAATGTGTGCAATGCGCTTGCGCAGGTTTATCAGGAGGAGCACGCCCGGAGGAGCAGGCGGAGCGGAGGTGAGCTAGGGCGGGAGGTCACAGGGGGCCCGCAGGAAGCAATGGGGTAGGGGAGAAATGCGGCATGCTGGGGGAGGAGGCGGTGCTGGGGATTTGTGAAAGGGGTTCGGAAGGGGTGGAGTTGGGGTGGGGCAGAGGGGCACGAAAAAGAAAGGGGAGGCGGCCAAAATCCTAGAGCCGGCCCTGCCCTCTCCAAGGGTTGCAGCTGTCTAGAGGTGCCTGCCTTCCACGCCTTCCTCATTCACACCTCATTCATTCAACAGGGCAATTGATTACAAAGTGGGGGGAAGATCTTATTCTACTTCTAGCAAGGAGACATTTTTCTTTTACCTTAATTATACTGCCTTAGGGGCCTGCTATAACATATTACCAAGGTTCAATACTGCTGTTTCGGTGTGGCGGTGCTGGGGAAGGAGGGTTTTTTTCCGCGGGGCAGGTGGCGCGGGTGTGTGTGTGTGTGTGTGTGTTTCGGCGGCGCTGGCGCTGGGAGGGGTTTGTTTCTGGTGGGGGCGGGTGGCGGCGGGGGGGGTGTTGTGGTTTCGGGGGGGGCTGGGTGGCGCGGTGGGGGGGGGGGTTGGCGGCGCTCGGAGGGTTTCGGCCCTCAGCTGTTTTCTTTGGAGTAATATGGCCCTCGCCGCTTTACGAGTTGTGCAGGCCTGTGCTACAGGAACCGCGCAATGAGCTCTCTAGTGTAGTATGAGTGCTCAACTGTCGTTTTTCCTCTGGTCACAAGGGACAGAAATTGGCTTTCAGTGATCTGTACGTTCACACGGAGCTGGGGTTTTCAAAGCTTCCTAAGGGGTCTGAAAAATGCTCAATTTTTCTTTAAATTAATGGGCACCAAATGTGCAAACCTCCAAGGCAGCTGTGAAAGTCCTACCCAGAGGGTTTTCTCACCTGAAGGGCTGTGAACTTTATGTAGAAATTTGCAGGTGTCGGAAGAACTGGGAAGGGGAAATGTCTGTTAGAATGATTTCCCAGTGGGGACGGAAGCAGGTAATTCAGAGAAGCAGAAAGGAGCTTTGCTTTTGTCTTGTGAAAGTTGGAACTGGATGCTGTACATTTAGAACTGTCACCTGCACACTTGGTCAGCAGCACCAGGTGTGAACTGGTTTAGTCAATGGTTTTACAGATGTGGGCTG